CTGTGCAAGGAGGGGGGGGGAGGGTGCATGCGTATGGTGGGGTGTTTGTGTGGGACTTGCCCTATGAACACACACACACACACGTACCGGTACATCCCCGTGCTCCCCAGTCCGGTGATGCAGCCGGGAGCCATGTGACAGTGGAGCAGTGCGGGGGCAGGAAGGTTGGGAAATGGCTGGGGGTGGGGTGGGGTGGGCCTGGGCTGCTGATGGCTCCCCCTGGGTCCTACTGCCACTGACTCCCGTCATCTTTGACACATAGCCAAGAGCAGATACATTTTTTCTACATTCTCTAGGGGGCCCCGCGGACCATATTTTGCCCACCCCTGATAGACAGACAGACTTCTACCTAAGTTTGGACCCTTATTTCATTAATATTTCTTCAAAATTTCTGTGGGACAAGGAGAATCCAGATACGTTTAATAAAGGGCTAATAGGAAGGTTTATATGTGGGTGTTCTACAGCTCCTCAGCCAAAGAAAGACAGTTAACCAGAATAAAGCCATATTTCTGAGGGGAAAATAAGCCATCACTTTGGCTATGACACTGTAAGATAAATAGAGTTTCACATGATAAACAGAATTAAACTACTCCATCCCCCAATCCCACCATTTTATTTTTTTTCAAAAATGAAAAGTTGTTTAGAGGACTGTTCGCTCAGTTTGCTTTCCTGATCCTTAAATAAAATTTCAAATACTGCAAATTGAAAAAGTTAAATGTGAAAAGAATATGGTGGTGTGGGTTCTATAAGAAAACTTTTTATTTAACCACTTTCTGAGCAGCTATCCAAAAGACCAGCTACTATACGGGTACACTGACAAGAAAGAATCCAAAGGACCTACAGTTTCAGACAGTATGTTTAGAGAGACAGTACTTACTAACATCTCCACTGAGGATAAGAATATTCCCAAACTGTTTTGAATGAAGAATTTTGATATTCTGAAATGATGAATCTTCATCATAAACAACTTCATCTATGTCATATTCCACCAGACGTCCATCAGCTGTGGGCCAGTATCTATCAATGGCATCTCCTCTCACAATGGCTGGCAATCTAAGAAGGTGGTGAAATAGTACAAAACCTTTGAAAGTTAAACAGGTCTCATCTTAATTTTATGTCAATGCATAATGTGAGGGGGATGATCCCCTCTCCCCATGGCAGTTAATGTTTTTCTTGATTATTATGAGGAATGCAGCACTACAAACCAGGATATAAATCTAAATAAAAATGATAGTGATAATACTGAACACAGTATTGATACCTGTTCCAGTGTTTCAGATCGGATCTCTAAAGACAACACAAATCGAACAAAATTCATACAGTAAAATGTTGCCAAGGTGGACTTTTTTTTTTTTTTTTCACATTAGAAAGACAGCAACAGTTTTCCATAAAACACATTTAGCATATAATATTCAAGAAGTTTATAGCAGTAGCTATGTTTAAGGGAGAACCCCTTAAACACATTGACACTTCAAAGGAATATTATGCAGTCTGGATGGAATCAATCTTTTAACCAGGGGAGAACGTGTGTAATACACTGAATATGTACAATAAAAAGTTAATTGCCAAAAGTATTTGTGACAGTGACAGGTCACAAATACAGAATATAAAACAAAGTAACTTGAGTTCTCTATTATTTTAATTCAGTCATAAAACAATCATTGATCCCTACAAGTGTTTAATTTAGGGCCAGGTTTTATTGGTAAGGCAAATGCAAAAAGGAACCTGAGAAAATGTAAGTTACAAAGTGCAAGCATAATCTTTGATTTTTATTTATCTGTAATTTTTGCCTGGGCATTTACAGCCAAGCGTGAATTAATTTTGTATAACTGGTTCAAATATGTGAGGATAAAAATAGAATTAATTCATATCATTTCAGAGTGTCTAAACTGTATACAAGTTTGACATAAAAATATGAATATGCTTTAAGAAAGAAAAATTCATGTTTATAAGGTTTATGAATATGAGACCACACTAATAGATCAAAATACTTGTACAAGAGTACCCAAATGTTGATTCAATACATTTTCCTATTTGCATTTAAAAATGAAGCTTTTCTGGAAGGGGAAGGGAAGGAAGAGATATTTTTTAATTTCCAGCTATTCTAAAGAGAAGTATCAACATAATGTAAATTATCTCTTTTGTGAGATACTAGGTCGGGGTGGATAAAACATGGCCCACGGTTAAATCCAGCCTGCCAATTGATCCTATCTGGCCTGCTGGACCCCATGCGACTGTGGGGGCGAGCAGGGGATGCCTAACCAGGGCAACACAGAGCTCGCAGCAGCAAGCAGCTTCCCCACATGGCGCTGCTCTGCTCTGTAGTGCCAGGTCGCACCAGCTGGGGCTCTTCTCCAGGAGGGCTGGGTGAGGGTCGGAGCCCATGCAGCTCGTCCAGGCATGCAGGGAGGCTGCTACACACTCTGGCAGAAACCAATGGGTGAGGTGGCTGCCGCTGCGGGCTCGGCTTTGCACCTGGAGCCCCGCTGCAGCTGGCCTGGGAGTGGCCCAACGCCATGTGCCGGGACTGGAGCAGGGCAGCTGCTGGGGGGCTCCCCTTGGCTCCAGCCCCTCAGTCCCTGCTGTCATGATGGCACTCCACTGTGTGCAGCTGTCTGTGCAGAGCACTCCGACTGGCTGCCAAGACAACCAACCAGAGTGCAAATAAAGACAGAGACAGACAAAGGCTTTTACTATATTAGAATATACATACATACACACACACACACACACACACACACACACACACACACACACACGCTCACACAGGTACCAGCTGAACACAATGTTTTCTTGATAGATTTACAATTTTAAAGCAATTTGGAAGCCTGCTAGTGCCTCAATCACTATAATAAAATAAATTCTAAATACCTATAAATTTTGCTATTTGATTTTGGGGGTTTTTTTGGTTCTGTTTTTTTTTTTTAAATCAGAAAAATCAGAGCTCCCCCTATCCACTTAGCTCACAGAACACAGGTCCAGGCTCCTCACTCCCAAGCCACAGCCCCCTGGTCCTGCTGGTGCCCCCTCCCCCCCACCCACAGCCCCTGCCCCGCCAGCCCTGCTGGAGAAGGGCCCCAGCTGGTGTGACCTGGCACTACAGGGCAGAGCAGCGCCAAGCGAGGAAGCTGCATCCCCTGCTCGCCGCCACAGTAGCATGGAGTTGTGCCCCTTGTGGCTGCTGCTGCCGTGTGGGCAGGGGATGCCTCACCAGGGCAGTGTGGAGGTCACAGCAGCAAGGAGTTTCCCCATGCAGCCCTGCTGGGCTGCAGAAGTCCCAGGGAAGGGCAGCAGGGCAGGGTGCCCAAGCCTGCAGTAGGCAGCCCTGCCTGCCCCCACCCCCGCCACAGGTCTGCCGTGCCCCTTTGGAAGTGAGCACAGCTACAGGGAGCCAGCTGCCCCCCTTCCCCAATCCCGCTCCCTGCTGGGGTCCTGTGACCACACACTGCAGCCCTGGGCCCCAAGGCACACCCTCCCGCTCCCCCACCAGCTGGGCAGCAGCCCCAGCCCTGCCCTTCCCAATTCACTCCCTCCCTCCCTATAAGGGCTTCAGTCCTGCCCCCTGCCAGACTTGCCTGCAGAAGCTGCGCTCCAGGCTGCCTAGTGACCATGTGCATATACATGCACATGGCACTGCTGGCTGACCATCCTCCTCCCACTCCCACCTGCCTCCCCAGCCCCTTGTAGGCTGGAACTCTGCCAGCCTGCAGAGAATTCTTAGCAAAAGTGCAACATCTGTGGGTTTCTCCATTAAAATGAGAAATCCATGTTTTCCTCCGGTAAAGTGGTAAATCCACATTTTCCTGTGTTTCCATGGGAAACAGAAAGCCTGGATCCCTGCTGATTACTCTCTTTGAGTACAATTTTTCAATCACTTGCAAACATGCATAGTTGACACAACCTCGCATTAGAGCACAAACTGCAAGAGGATCAATGTAAATTAAAAGGCTTTTTTTTCTTCCCCACCCCACAGTTCAAATATTTCCATAACAAAACAATTAACTTTTTTCCACTTTGGATTCCCCTTCTCCCCATGTATCATAATTATCCCACAGCATAAAAAAAGTTTTACACAAAAGAACTAAGATGAAAAAAAAATGCAGAATTTTTGCAACTAAACTAGAGGTGGCATTTATCAATTCTACAATAAAATTGCCAAAATATTTGTAGCTATTTGGAAACACTCATACATACTCTTTCTGAAAACATTTTATTATAAATGCTTTTAATAAAGCCTAAGAAATTTAAAGCTGAAATTTACCTGAAAACATGTCCCTAGCCAATAAATGCTTATTGCATGTTATTAGTGTTGCTCATGAAGGCAACACAAAAAAAATAGTACTAGAAAATCCCATTAGCAGCCATGTAGAACTTGCAATAAGATGTCCTAAAGATAAAATTTTGTTCCAAGTGATGTATAGATTTTTAAAAACTAGTTAGACAAGATATTAACTGCCCTACAAATTATTCAAATTGGGGAGGGGAGGGTCCATCAGTCCTTATTGATAAGTTTAAGCATTTTTCATCACTCTTGAAATAAATCAACAAACAGTAAGTCACCTGTATATATATAGGTCTACCTCGTTAATATCTGTACCAGCAAGCAAATAAAGATCTGTCTAAATCCTGTATAAATTCAAAGTGATTCTATGGCTTCAAGGAATGAGGTGATTTACAATAGTGTAACAAAGCAGAAGTTAGTCAGTTGTCTTCAATGGTATGAAATAATAATGTAGACCAATCTAAATGCAAGAGAGCTTGTATAAAACTTACCGCTTCACCCTTTTGATGCTGCCCTGAAACAACTCTTTCATTCTTTCTTCTATTTTGTTCAGTATCTGTAAAAAGTATAAAAAAGCTGAACTTGTAGAGACTAGAAAGGTACTTTCCACCCATGAAACATCATTTAAACTGCTGTGGTCAAGAGAGATGTATTGAACTGTGCCTTTCACTCCTAAGTTACCAACACAGATGCTGTTCTTATGAGGTCAGTGTAAAATATGGGTAATGGTTGCAGCCCAGATCCTAGCAAATCATTTATTAAAAAAAGATAATTAATTCTCCATGTCAGGGTTAAGAAATAGCAGCATATGGAAATTCTCTCTTCTACTAACAGGATTGTACACATTTGTTGAAGAAACTACTGACTTCTGTCTATGGCACTGCCAACCCAGCTCAGATCACAAACAATAGTTCCACAAAGAATGTGCCTGAAATTAGTATGTGCCTGAAATTAGTATTTTTAAAGAAATAGCTTTGGGTTAAAGCAACAGATTTGGGTTAACTAAAATGTCAAACATTCCAAGTACATATGCCATTGAGACAGAACAAAAGCATCAAGAGCTTGGAGTCATCTGACTAGCGGACAATGATGATAATGTGCATCCTGTTCCTCCTCGTGCTCCTGAGTGAGGGCACCAGGGCAGAGTAGCCAAGATGTTCAGTTCAGTCACCAGTTCAAAACCTATGTTATTGAGGACTTCAAAAAACAGGGATGAAGGACAGATTATGGGACCCACACTGAGTATAGAAACATCTCAAATGTCCACACAGTTCGTAAACCAAAATGACCATTTTTTCTTCAAGTAACTGTCAATGTGAATCCCAATCTAGGGGCACGTCTACACAAGATGCTTTACTGTGCAGAGGAGCTAATGACTGCATGGTAAGTGTCACTGTTTACAGATGCTGACTGTTACGGCGCAGTAATTTCTATTACTCAGCAGTTAATTTGCTACCTGGAAATGCAAGTAGCGAATTAACTGCTGAGTAATGAATTACTGCAGATGGCCGATTGGGAGCAAATTTGCACCCAGTCAGCTGGACAGCAGGGGGCAGGAGATTGGTTCCTACCCCTGGGAGCTCCCTACTGTCAAGGCGGGTTCCACCACCAGAGCCCAGGAGGGGACAATGTCCCCCTGCCCCAGCAGAGACTGGTAACAGGTTGGGAGCTTGTTCCCAGCCCCAGTTCCACAATGGCGGAGCAGGAGTTGAGAGCTTGTTCCCAGCAAGCTCCCAGCCTGTTCCCAGCCCCTATCCCACGATTGCGGAGCGGGGATTGGGCGCTTCCTGCATGGGGTGAATTCCCCACCCAGCCTGGAGCTGGCTGGGACCTACCCCTGACTGGGACAGTTCCCAGCCAGCCTTGAACTGTGCAGGGAAATCTGCACATGCAGCCTGGAAGTGGCTAGGAACTATCCCATTTCAGGCAAGGAAAGGCACAGGAGGGGACAGGGAATGCACGCATGACCCCAGCAAACACTACTCTTCTTAACTCGCATGCCTTAGGTACACACACATATACCCACAGCAGATTGCCAAAAGAATAGATTCAAATCAGCAGCTAGCAGTGCTCCCATACAGTTTGCCAGAGCTAGAATAAAAGAGGTATATAGTTACATGATCAATTTTGTCTCTTCCTTTCATATCATCGTTGTAGCTCTGCAGATCCACTGACACTAATCCATGAGGGTAAATTCTCAGAGTGGCAAAACTGCAAAACCAAAGAAGTATTTGTTATTGATTAGGATCTTGTTTATTAACACAACTGGATTCTAGCAGGAGGAAAAACTGGAACTCCGTGTTAAAGTCCAAATGCTTGTTTATTTTTGCAAATTCATTTTTTTGCAACAATGTCAACAATTACTTTTCCAACTCTTATTTTTCAAGAAATCACTGCAAAACAAGAGAAGAATTGCAAAGGCATGCCAGGAACTAATAGTCAGCAAATCATACCCTTTATAAAAAAAAGGATGCTAAACCTCCGAACAGCTATAAAAAGAGCAAGATTTTTAAAGCAAAAACAAACTTCAGGAAACGATTACATTCCCTACCCTTCCAAAGTCAGAAAGCTTATACAATGATCTCAACCAACATTATCACGTTCAAAGATTAACAGCAATTTTAAAAAAAAAATGTTTTCATGATGTAAGACTGGGCAACTATAATTACTCTCTACATTCATTACTGTAGTGTTTAAGGATCAACCAAGAATGGAGCTCTATTGCACTAGGCACTGTAAAAACACAGTAGCCCCATGGCTGCCCTGCCCACCCCAGCTCTTTTTAAAAAAAGAAAAAAAACGCCCTGCACTCACTGGCTGCTGTAGCAGCCATCGGGGCTTCTGGGGGCTCATGGGAGAGCCCCCATGCAGCGCAGGGCAGTGGGGATTGCCACTCCACCTGGCAGGAGCCAATGAATGCAGAGTTTTTGTTTGTTTTTCTTTTTTTAAGAGCCGAGGTGCTGGGGCCGGGTGGGGCAGCCATTGACGGGGCTGGGAGAGCAGGTGGGTGTTGGGGCCTGTTTGATTTGGAGATTCGGTGGCGGCCAAATCTCCAAATCATATTTGGCCAAATTGATTCAGGACAGTGATTTGAATCATCAGATTGAATCACTGTCCCCAAAATCAGCCAAGTCCGAATCCAAAGCGAATAGTAGCTGCTTCACACAGGCCAAATAGACAGTCCATGCCTCAGAGGTTACAAAAACAAAAAACACAGGGTTGGGGGGAGGGGGGGGCAGAAAGAAAAGAAGAGCGCTAGCAGCAAATGTCATGTTAGTTCCATATTTCTTTTTCTTGGATGGATTTATTTAGGAAGGAAGAAAAAGAAAAAAAGGAAGAGAAAAGGGGTCTGATAAAGAAAGGGTAGGTTAAACTAAGTTAAGAGGGACAGGTATGGAATGAAGCCATGGTACACAGCTGGAGGAAGAAAGGGGCAGGAGAGAAAGTCCAAGGAAATCTGCATAAAGTTGGCTGGAAAAGTCCCATCTTTGGCAGTTTCTACTATTTTTCCTACTGGCTGGAGTCTCTGGACAATATGCCTGAACTCCAAGGAAAAACACTTTCATTTATTTATCGTGCAGTTTTTTTGTTCCCTCTCTAAGGCAAAAGAGAAGGACGGCCTTTTAGAGATGGTCTATGCAAGGTCACGCCAGACTCTTTTGGAAGACAAGGGATTTGTATTCAGCATATCAAATACTTTTCGTTTATAAAATCAATTTCAATAGTATGCAGATTTACTTTTCCCTCTGACCCAGATGGTTTCAAAAAGTCTAACTAGTTTCCTTTCCCTTACGGCTAATTAAGAAATATATGAACACTAAATCCCATTAAAACCATGACTAAGCAAAGCCAAGGACCAGTATTCTTCCTTGTACTATGTACCAAATTAATTCTGCATAGCCCATAACTTGTAAATAAGCAATAATACAAATCTTTCTTTGGAATTATTCCAGCCAGAATTAGACAGGACCAATTGGTTTTAAAATGCCCAGGGTACATTTTTCCTGAAAGCAGGGACTGTGAGCACTCTTACATTATCCATTAAAAAAAAAAAAAGAACAGAAAAGGAAAAAGGAAAAAAGAAAGAAAGAAAGGCTTGTGAAGGTTCCTAAAAAATGTTCCTTCTCGGGATTCACCTGTTCTAATGCTTTGTCTATACATACACATGATGAGTACATACGCCTACCTTTGACTCTTGGATGTTTCTTTAGCTAAGTAGGGCAGGAATCCTGAATTCAGCAAAAATATTTAAGCATTTTATACTCCCTTAGTCCACAGTATCTGCACAGCAGATGTAGCTAATTTGTTTTAAATTACACAGATGCTTCCCACAAATAATTTTTGAGTCCCTTAAACATCACCAAGTAGCTGGCCAATGATGAACTCTACTCCTCCTCAAGTATGTGCAAGCCTTAGTATCTTTGCAAGTTTTGTTACCAGAGAAGCTACAGTACCATACACCCTCATTTTATAGAACTATGAATCAGCAAGAGCAGGATAGAGTGTTTTTTGGTTTTTGAGGGCCAAAAAAAAAAAGAAAAGAAGGCAACTAGATTGCTCAACTAGTTCTGGTATAGTCAAGTCTTCAGTCCATGGGAGATGACTCTCTCTCAGACCGAGAAAAAATTTATATAAAATAAAAATAAATTACTTCAGCTAAGTAGCTAGAGCTGGTCAAAAAGTTATAGGCAAATGAGTGATGTGACAAGGAAGAAAAAAAGGCTTTAAAATATCTACCACTTACCCTGTTCTTCCCCACACCTTTCCAGACAAGCTCAACTGCCTACCAACACCAAGTGTGTGTGTGTGTGTGTGTGCGCGCGCGCGCGCGCATATCCCTGAAAGCACCTTCAGCATTTCGTCTGAGTGTTTTTTAAACAGCTCTGTACTCAAAAAAAAATTTTTTTTTAATTTAAAAAAATGTGTCGAACAGAAGAGTAATTCACAGTATAACCCCTCCAGTACATGAAGAGATTTAGTTATAAAGAAATATACTTGCTTAAACATGTTACATATAGGTAGGCTTGGTAGGATTCCATTTTTTTAAATTGGTAAAGTTTATTAAACATCAATTTCATCTCTCACACAGACTGACAAAAAAGTATTTCCATCTCTAATAATCAAAATTTATAAAACGGGGAGATAAGAAAAAGAACAGCTGATGGAGTACGTGACGACAGGGGGAGCAGTCCTACAGAACCATGCTGACTATAGTTTGGACTAACTCCCAGAAACCCCAGGGGACTGGGAACAAAGGAGGAGGAAGTGATACAAGCGGATGAGGGAGTTACGGGTGAGCGGAGCTGGGACTGATGGCAGCTCTGCCGCTCAGCTGGTAGCAGTCCCACAGTAGTCCTACGTTTGTGGCAGCAGGCAGTCAAATTGTTCTACAGTAATAGTACACTGTCATTAATAAATTATCTGCCCCCTCCCCCCCAATTTCATGCCATCCTGAACATTTAAATGGATAGAAATCTAAATACACGTTTAACAATGAACAAATATTGATACTATCCATCTACTTTAAATTATTTAAAAAATATAAATCAAATTCTGCCAAGCCTAGTTTTAGGCTACCTCTGTAGGTTCATACAATGCCTTCAGCACAAGAGGCTTTAATAGCTTTAGTCAGATACTTCAAGTCACTAGCAATAGTTTCATTAAAGTCAATGAACTTGTACCAGTCCCTAGGTCCAGCTATGCTGTTAAGCAGAACGCAGGTCAGAGTGGTATCTTAGAGACTACATGGTACAGAGTGGTATCAGCTTTGTTAGGCAACAGCCTCTACTTCTCTCTCTGGTGTTAAGGGGAAAGTAATATTTCCATTTCACTAGATGGCACTCTTGCACTCTGAACTAAATCCATGTTTCTGCACAGTGCCAAAGACTGCTGCAGTATTGCAGGTAACATTTTATCATATTATACATATATTGCAAGAATGGGAGTTATTTAGCCTCACTCAGATCAGTTACTCAACTGGGTAAACCCTAACCACAAACTAAATTTCCCCTTTAACTTTAGGTTCCTCTCCTAAGCCTTTTATATTAAATCACTGTATTCAAGAGCTGCTAGGTTTCTCCTCCAAATGGGAAAGCATTTCAAAGTTGGATGATATGCTCCCTCTGTACGTACGTACACTGTTTATAATATTCTTTGGCATTCTTTCTTTAAAACAGTAATATGATAAAAACATAAGACTATTTTACAGGAAGTATAAGAAGACTACAGAGCAGACACTCTTCTACACTGATTTGGATGTTATCTATTTGTTATTTTTAATGTCAAAATAGAATCCTCATGCCAATAGATTACTGGTGTACTCTCATCTCTTCCTTGAACTGGAACTGGCACAAAGGCCTATAATTCCCTTTTTCAGACCTTTTGAAAACACAAAACTATACTAGTTTAACTAAAAACAGCTTTTAAAAATCTACTTTGCTAAACTGATAGAAGCCCTTGATTGTTATTGTTTTCAAAATGGCTTATTTAACAAAACAGAGCTAAATCCAAATTAAATGGGATGTTGTTGTGATCCACTTCAGCTAAAGTTCATCCTTTCTTCTCTGACAAGTTTTTTCTCCTAACAATTTTCCTAAGCAGCTAACCAGCATCACTTATCTTAGCCACTTAACATCTAGTGAAAATACTTTTCGGTTTGCAGGGGAAATTAAAGAGATGTCCTATGCAGGTGGTATGCGTTCCAAAACAGTAAGAAGTAGCTCAGGCTGCAGGTCAACTTGGGAGTGGTTGCTATTAAAAGCTGCCCTGTTACCTTAAATAGCTAGGATTATCCGAGTAGGATTATTTCTTTTATGCTAAGACTACAGTGAAAGAAACAACATTTTTGCCAGTTCCAGGTTAGATCTACTTTTAAACAGTGAACCAAGCAGAAGATGAGAGGTGACTCAAAAGAGCTAGATATCTCAAGTAAAAAACATCTAACATTAAGTCAGAGACTTACCAAACCAAATCTAGTCCAACATATTTTAATAAATCAAACCTTGCTGGAGTAAATTGTTCTCTGCATCTAATGATGTCAATGTGTTTAATATGCTTTAATAAATGAAATCCTCTCAAATCTCTCCTCAAAAATAGGGGATTTATTTATTCTACTTTTACAGATAGGAAAAAAATGAAGGCACTGGAAAACATCCAACATTTCAAAAGAACTCACTGACAAAGGCCACATACTTGCATTCAGTTTCTACTGGGAGAATTGCTGTTCTCCTGGTAGGAAATAAAAGTTTGCAGAAGTTCAAACTTTTTTTTTCCCCAGAGCTTCAGGAACAACCAGGGTTAAATCATTCCCAGGTGAATTTCTCTTCGGAGACTAAACATCTGCACACCTTCCGCTGGCTTAACTCCTGTGGGGGACCAGGAGGACTGGAGCTTCCAGGACTGGGGGCCCCTGGTCTGGGGAGAGTGCAGAGGGCATCTGCTCTCCCCCTCCCATAGGTGGGAGTGAAGGGGAGCAGCCCCAGCTGCTCCTCGCCTGCTTGTTATACTGGAGGTTTGGGTGCAAGTTGGAAAAAAAAAAAAGGGGGGGGGGGGAGTGGGTTACAATTCCACTCCCTCTGATCGGTGGCTCCCAGGCACTTCCTGTTTGCTTCCTCCTGCTCCCACTCCTCCCCAACTCAGCTAAAGGGCCCCTTAACTCCCAACCCCTCCAATAACATGAAGTGAAACAAGGCAGGCTGCTGTGCTTCTTCAAGTCTCCCAGAGCCCTGCCATAGCAACTAAGTGCTCCTGCCCCACTCCCTGAGGGCAGGCTGTCAATTAATGGACTCCCCTAAGAGCAGGAGTGGCCCAGGGAGCAGCCTTCTAGTGCCTCATGGCTAGAGCACATAAGAACTGCCATTTGCTGGGTCAGACCATAGGTCCATCTTGTCCAGTGTCCTGAGTCACAATGGCAGAGAGTGAATGCTGAAAAGGAGAGCAAACTGGGTATGACCAGAGTTTTTTTCCATTTCCAGCATGCATGGTCTAGGAAAGCTCTCCAGCCATAGGGCTGGGGGAACATCTGTACAGTCCAACTCCTGAGCTATCTTTCTACAAAAAGAAATTTCCAGTTTGTTCATTCCCACCACTACAGACAATGATTCAATTGGTTCAAGGGAGCGATGGCCTGCCTAGCTATTGAGTGTGAATGGCCATTTCATCCACGTTTGTGTTGACAACTGGATGAGTGATGTTTTACAGTTGAACCCTCCTCAATTAGGTCCTTTGTCATGGTAAACCATGAATTAAATGGACCAGGTAAGAGTTGCCAAAATGTGACTTTTGGTAGCTTAACTTCAGACAAAACGGACTAACTTCCTTAGCCTGACGGAGGGTTTTTGAACCCGAAAGCTTGCTTAAAAATTGTTCTCCAACTATTTAAGTTGGTCTAATAAAAGATATCAGATTCATCCAAAGAACCTTGCCTGCAATCGTATCAGGTACTTACAAGCCTAACAGTTTGCAAAGAATCCAGTCCCTCAGCAATTTTCAAAACAGGCTCTCTCATTGCTGGGAAAGGACATACCACACATTTGAAATTCCT